ATGAAAATAAGAATAGAAATTGATATAAAAAAAAATGAAGAACTAATTCTTAATTGTACGTTTATGAAAAAGTGATCATAATAGATGTTAAAGTTTATTGAGAGAATAAATGATCTTCTTCAAAAAATATTTACTAAATAATTAAATTAATGTTCATAGTGAATAAACAAAATATGTATCGATGTTAAATAAATCTAACAAATTGGTGAAATTGAAATTAAAAATGGAAAAATAAAACTAATGATAAAGTTTTTTGAGTTCATTTATAATTTATAATTATTTTAATAATTATGATTGATTCATTTATTGTTGTCATTGTCATATATTTAAATAAATTATTTTTATCTCTTTTATAATAATATATAATAAATTTATAATATAATTAGGTTGTCAATTCTATATTTCGAACTATGATGCAATTGATTAATAATAGGAACAAGTAACTCCCTCCCTCTTGTTTGTTTGCATATAGAAAAAAGAAAAAAAGAAAAAAAAAACTTGTGCTACGTTTTTTAATCGAATTTCAAATTTGAATAATTCTTTCGAAAAAAGTTCAATAATAATAATAATAATAAAAGTAAACCTTTCAATAAGAGCATTTAATGATTGAAAACATTTTGCATTTCTTGGTGGCCATGGACTTGATTTTCTTAAAACAGCATATGGATCATTTGATGATGATATATCTTTATTTGGATCATTTTCTCCATATGGATTAACATGCCAAATAACCATTCGAGATGGATCAATTCTATTAAATAAATAAATAAATAAATAAAAGTTTGTTTTGTTTTTTTTTCAAATTTATTTTGACTAAACTTTTTTTCTGGTATCATATATTTTGAATTAAGTCCATCAGCTTTTTCTTTATAATCTAAATAAGTTCCACGAAACATGGCACAAATTGAAAGAGCATCTTTTAAACTCATTGATGTCTTTTTTAATCATTAAATAAATAAATAAATAAATAAATAAATAAATAAATAAATAAAATAATTATTAAAATAACTAAACATACATTAGTTGATTTTGATGATATACTATTGGCTATTATTTGTTTAGATCGTAGAACAATTTCCGAAGAAACAACTTCTAATAATTGACTAAATTTATCTTTTTGATGATAATAACTAAAAAAGGAAAATAAAATAAAATAAAATAAAATAAAATAAAACTAATTAAAGTATTACTGTGAATGTTGCCAAATAAGAAAAAGTGTATGCATTAATGATGGAAGATGTAATAGAATTTCATTGAGATTATTTGAATTATTTATTTGAAATATCCATGGTGATAATGTACTTACAAATGATAAATTTCTTTCGGCATGTGTTACGGACTTTTCATTTATTTCGAGAAATAAAAATGAGAAAAATTAAAAACAAAAAAAAAACATACTCGACTTATTTCAAGTTTAATATCCATAAAAGACGAAAGATATGGTGAACGATTTCTCGCTAAATTTTTCAGAACATCTTGAACAAATGGTGAATCAAGTTGGACAATAAGATTATTTAATTTATTTATTCTTGATGTCCATAATTGAACTTGATCTTTTATTGAATTTTGTTCTCGACCATAAAATAATGGTTTTAATTCTTCTTGAAGTAATTGCTTTTATTTTATTAAATTAAATTAAATTAAATTAAATTAAATTAAAATAATATTAATAAATACAAACTTTTATTTGTTTACTCCAATTTGTAAGAGTATTTTCAAGAATAGATAATATTGATTGTTGTCTTTCAGGTTCTTGTTGTGATATATGTG